GAGTTACTGAGGTCTGTAAACAGCATTGTTTTTTTTTTATAAGGCCTCATTCACACGAGAAAAGTCCGGCACGTACAGCTCCATGCTGCGTGCGCGGCCGTATCGGGCAGCTCCCAGGAAGGACAGGTGCATGCGTGTGATTAGTACGCAGCCCCTGTCCTTCTTTATGGGACTACACAACCATACGCTCACCTCGAGTGCAGGTCCGTACAGGTGCGGGCGTCCCAGCTCGGACGCAGACAGGATCCATCCTGTCAGCGTATGAGTACGCTCACCCACACCTGCACAGACGTGCAAGGCGGGTGAGCGTAGGGCGGCGTACGGCCGCTTAGTCCCATAGAGAAGGACAGGGGCTGCATACTAATCACACGCAGCACCTGTCCTTCCCAGGAGCTGCCCGATACGGCCCTGCACGCAGCACGCAGCTGTATGTGCCGGCCTTTTCTCGTGTGAATGAGGCCTTCGGGTAGATAAGAAAAACAGCAAAACATGTGACCTCCTGGCTGGCTATAAAACTATATATAATGTTCACATGCAATATTTATTTTTTTACCTGACTCAAAAAGAGAAAAACTATTTTGAAAATCTTTTTTTTTTTTGTCCTTTTCACCTAGTCCTCTAATTTTATTTTATTTTTGGTGGAAAGTTCCATATAACACGGAGCGCCTCTAATTGGTTCAGTTACTCCCTACCCTAGAATCCACTGCAGTGTATCCGAGAATGTACGCAATCAGCATTAGGAACCCCCAGGCAGGGAAATCTACGCGCAGACATGCGATTAGTCTGTTTTCACCAATCCATTTGCCTTTTTCTCCTAGTAAATGACCTCTAATGAGTTAATTATTGTTTTCATATAGTCAGTACATAAGGGTGGAAGCGGATGAAGGACCAGATGTCATGGTGAAAGGTTGTCTTTCAGCTTGCTGTGTCACTTTGTGCAAGCTCTGCACATCCGAAATTACAGAAAGAATTCCACTATGATTGAGTGGAAGGAAAACTACTCTGCTCTGGGGAGTGGGAATATATTTACGCTCCGTACCTAAAAATAGCAATAGGGGGACGTGAAATATATAAATTTTTCCTATAAATTACACCTACTGCATAGACTGGCTTTCCCCCCAATTTAACAGCCTGAAAGACGACTTAATTTGTATATTTTTGCTGCGGGTACCCGATTGCCGAGGCTTTGATCTCTTCCCCCCACTCAGAAACTGGGTCACCCACTTTGCTTCCAGTGAAATATTGAAAATCATACATTAGCTGGGCTTCTTGTTGTTTGTGTGGTAGGACCTGGTTGTAATGACTGTAAAATAAGCGCATCTCCAGACAACATCAGCACTCGGAGCATCGCTCGTGATAAATGGGTTTAGGCTTACCATACACGGCTCACATTTTGGCCATTTCCTGCTGGATTGGCCGAAATTAAAGCCATGGGTGGCCCTTTCAGCATGACCCGGCTTCACAAAAGTCAACTGAAAAACTGAAGGAACTGGGTGGAAAAATGTTGGCCAAACAGTGACCACAGTCACTCTTCAGGTATTCAGGCAGCCACCACCCTCAACATAATAGCTGGCAGGGGGGATTCTCCATCCACCCTGTTAATGGCTAGCCTAAAGCTGGTGGAATTTTCTTAGAGTCCTGCTGACTTGGCCAATATTTGTCCAGTCTTTGGCCTCCTTGGGACCCTTCGTTCAACAAAAGTCAATTAATTAATTAATTAATCAATTGCTGGGAGCCGCTGAATCTCTCTACGATCGTTGCAGGGAGACCCTTATTGGTTTGCTTGCATGGTATACCATAACATTAAGAGTGCAGCATATGTTGTATGCCTTCAGATTCCCTCTCATTGATTGATCCTCAATAGGGCCCTGTCCGAGAGGAACAGAGGGTGTACAGTCACTCCTTTCACTGGTTCAGTTGAATGTATAATTTTCAGTTTGAGCTATTGAGCTCTGTAGCAGCCATAATGCCTGCTGTATGCTAACAGCGCAGAGCCACGGTGCAGCTGGGAAGGATCCCCACAATATCCACCCTGCTGTCTGATTGACTCTCTAGAGCCAGTGCCAGAGCCAGCTGTGCATGGCCCTTCTGCTGTCTGTCCCACCAATGAGCACTGGAGGAACAGAGAGAGGGGAGGGGGTAATCCCTGCGGGGAGCAGAGACTGACAGTCTGCAGGGAGGTGACCATGAGCTGAGCAATCAGTGGTTTGTGATCCCTCAGCTCTTAGTATAGAGTTGGCTTAAGGCATTAGGAAGAGTATTTCATTACTCTCCCAATACTTCTCCTTTAAGGCCAAATGCAGCCAGAAGTGATATTTCAGGTCCCGGTAATTTGACATCCCCCTCTTTTGCTTTGTGGAGGTTGTTGGCAATATTATCATAGTATTCTTGTCCCAGCACTGCCCCTGAGACCCATAAGGTTGTTTCAAGTGATCTGAAGCTAGAAAACCCTTTCAGGATAAAACGTGCTGCTTTCAAAAGCCACATTCCGGCCACATGTCTGTCTGCAGCTTCAAAAAAAGAGGAAGCTTCTGTCAAACTAATGAGTGCCAAGAGGGACGCACTTGTCCACAGCTTTACCCTCACCAGATAATCTGTCCTCCAAATCTGTTGGGCATGGTGGCGAGCTAGCGTCCAATTTCCTGAGAAGTGAACCTACTGATAGAGGGATTTATTTATTCTGCATATTATATTATTATTATTATCATTATTATTATTTGTATTATTATTATCATCATTATATAGTGCCAACAATTTACATAGACCTTTACAAAGAGCACATTCAGATCAGTCCCTGCCTCCAAGAGCTTCCAATCTAAGGTCCCCATCTCATATACATATTGTATACAAAGGCACACATATATTAGAGCCAATTTAAACTGGCCATACACCAGAAGAATTTCGTTTGAAAAAATGATGTTGCAGCATTTCCATAATAAATTAATAGGACTACGTGGCCATACGCCCCCCTACACTCAACTCAAGTGCACCTCCGTGCGGGTGTCCCGGCTCGGACGCAGACAGGATCCATCCCGTCAGCGTACAAGTACCCTCACCTGCACCCGCACGAACGTGCAGGGCGGGTGAGCGTAGGGCGGCTTAAGGCCGCGTAGTCCCATAGAGAAGGACAGGGGCTGCGTACTAATCACACGCAGCACCTGTCCGACTTGCAATTGAGGTGAGCGTAGGGGGGCGTATGGTCGCGTAGTCCCATAGAGAAAGACAGGGGCTGCGTACTAATCACACGCAGCACCTGTCCGACTTGCAATTGAGGTGAGCGTAGGGGGGCGTATGGTCGCGTAGTCCCATAGAGAAAGACAGGGGCTGCGTGTGATTAGTAGGCAGCCCCCGTCCTTCTCTATGGGAGTATGCGGCCATACGCCCCCCTACGCTCACCTCAAATGCACGTCCGTGCGGGTGTCCCGGCTCGGACGCAGACAGGATCCATCCCGTCAGCGTACAAGTACGCTCACCTGCACCCGCACAAACGTGCAGGGCGGGTGAGCGTAGGGCGGCTTAAGGCCGCGTAGTCCCATAGAGAAGGACGGGGGCTGCGTACTAATCACACGCAGCACCTGTCCTTTCCGGGAGCTGCCCGTACGGACTTGCAATTGAGGTGAGCGCAGGGGGGCGTATGGCCGCGTAGTCCCATAGCGAAAGACAGGGGCTGCATACTAATCACACGCAGCACCTGTCCTTCCTGGGAGCTGCCCGATACAGCCGTGCACGCAGCACGGAGCTGTACGTGCCGGCCGATTCCCGTGTGAATGAGCCCTTATGGTTAATGAGGTTAAATTCATAATCAATTTCAACCATGTTGATTTAAAAAATTGGAGCAGGGTCGAAATTTTTTCTCGAGCAAACAAAATTCTAACAGTGAGTGTGGTTTTTTGTTTGGGAAACTCCATTCATTCCAAAATTGAATGTTAGTATTTTGAACGGCGTTCGTCAAGTCTCTGATGGCTTTATCAAATGTTCGGATTTTTGGCATGAACGTTCGTTGGAAAACCTACCAGTGTATGGCCAGTTATAGACAAGGAACCAGTTAACCTACCAGCATGTTTTTGAAATGTGGGAGGAAACCGGAGTACCCGGAGAAAACCCGGAGGAACCCCACGCCTACCACCATCAGAATACCCGGACAGTGACTGCAGTTTATCGGCCGCACTTACTGTTCAGCCAACATTTTTTTTTTACCAGCCAGTTCATTCGACTTTTTGTCAAGCTGGGTGGTGCTGATGGGGCCACCCGCAGCTCACATTTTTCCCGATTCAGCCGAAAATTTGAGTAGTGTATGGCTTGCTGAAGACTGGTTGGGGGATGTGGAGGATAACTGTAACTGCGCTGAATATTCAGTTACTCCTACAGGTGAACCTGCACAGGGCAAAGCAACAGGTTCACGAAAAGCAGATATAAACCCTCACAAGGTGATATTTCTGTTGCTTAAGCACTGAGTATCATAAACAATTGCCAATTTTTTATCATAAAATACAGTTTTTCCTCCTTCGTTGTATCTCATTGCCGCTGAACGCCTTCACCTCTTCCATCCACTCCCTGTCTGCATGCACTCGGACCTTCATTTCACCTTCCTGTACCTGGAAAGGGCATTCTAATATTGTCTAGCATGCTCCATTGGTTAAAATGTATAATTGTTCCTGCTCATGCACCGATCATTTGTGCAAAACGACCAGCAAGGTGTCTGGAGAGCGCTGTTGTGTGCCTACGGCTAGAGTCAGGTCACCTGAACGGCAGGCATCTTGGGGGGGCTCCTGATGACTTCAGATTCCTACCCTGCCCCCCACCCGGCAGAATCTCATTCATTCACAGACCAAGCAGCCGCCCTTCCCTTCCAAAAAGCAATGAAAAGGGGAGGTGTGATCCCAGAGAGGGAGAAAGGGAATTGGGAGATAAGAGAG